GTTGTAGTCGTATCATCTTGGCCTATGGTGACTCTACGTTCCCATGTGTATATGTGTCAGAGTGGACCCGTGGCATTTAGAATGACTGATTTTTCAAAAGTAGATTTTTTTTTTTTTTTTTTTTTTTTTTTTTTTTGAGGTGCTTCTGAGTGGACTTGAATCCACAACATTTTGATTGACAATTAAATACATTAACTGCTTGCCCTACCCAGAGTGGATGGAATAGTAATAAAAAATAATAGGTATGGAAAGTAACCTCACTTTGTTGTTGTTGGTTCTGACTCATAGTGACCCTATAAAGGGTTTCCACAGAGCAGCTGGCAGGTCACGGATCTTGTATTTTGAAGTCTGGTGCTTATCATATGGGGCTACCACGCTCCTAACCTTACCTAAGAATAGTAATAAAACAGTAGCAAAGTGAACAATCATCCAGAAGCAATGAGTCTTACCATTATTAAAGAATGTGAAAGTTTCACAAAGTACCGAAAACTGACATTGTCATTTCATTTAAGCCTCACAAAAGCCCTGTGAAGTAGGTTTCAGTATCCCTATAGATTGAAAAAAAAAGCACAAAAACTGGGGGTCATATAGAGTGAGTACTTGCCCTAAGACACCCAGCTGTCACTAAGTGACAGAGCTGGAACTTAAATCCCACCCAGAACTCTTTGAGCCACTTCAGGATGCATCTTTGTTTTGTTTTGTTTTTATAACTATTTGAATAAAGCCACTGATTTGCATTCTCATTAAGAAGCGGTTTTAGGGTGAGAAGTACTCTTTTTTATTTCCCCAAAACCTCATCCTTTTCATTGCACCTCCTCCAGTTAAGGTTAAATGAATAGTTTTAGAAGTATGAATCAGTTGACCATCAAATCCAAAGTCAGAATAATGACTGATGCAGTTATCATAATTAAAAAAAAATAATTGTAATCATCTCCAGTTTTAAGATCCAAGTTCTTGCTCCCTCTGCCCCCCTCCCCACCACAATGTCTGGTATAAAAGGAGATCCACTATAAATAGGTTGGTGAGTCATAATCAAGCTCTTCACTTTAAAACTAAAACGGCAGCTCAAAATGTGTTTTAAAATAAAGCCACTTTTAATGGGAAGGCAATTCTCACAGCAAGACATTTAGAGCAGCCATAATTTATGAGTATAATAGAAGAACTCAGCCCAATTCTTGGCTTGTGGTTTTCATTTTTACAAGTAAGTGACAGGTTAAGACTAAAAATTCCTCTCCCATCAAGATTCCGCCTCCCCAAATATCCTCAGCAGTGATCTGAAAGATACTCTGTTTTAGTCTTACTTTACTCTTTTCTACTCAAGGGTTTCAGTCAGCCAAATGAAGGTGATGATCCCAGTATCTGCATAGTTTACTAGACCATGAGAAAGTCACTGGGGCACCAAAGTAAAATTAAATGGCCAATATTCATGAATCGTTATTCTAATAATGAAGGCCCTGTTCCATGCTTCTCACTGTAACAGAGTTTACAAAGGCATGACTACTCGAAAACCAGTATCAGAGTGAAGTAAAAATAAATATGTTAGCCACAGGTAATACTTAGCAGACATGCATATACAAATTCTTCTCTCCCACTCATTTTGATCTTATTCTTGTTCTTACCACGCTTATGTTCTAAAATTATTTTAAAAGAATTTTAATGTTCTTCTGGCATCCCTGGGTGGATGGCACAACCAGTTAAGCACTCAACTACTAACTGAAAGGTTGGTAGTTCAAACCCACCTAGAGGTACCATGGCAAAGACTTTACAATGTGCTTTGGAAAGGCCACAACCATGAAAACCCTAAGGAACACAGCTCTACTCTGCTATACATGGGATCTCCATGAGTTGGAGTTGACTCAGTGGCAGGTGGTTTGGTTTAATGTTCTTCTATTCGACTCTTGGAGTCCGGTGTGGAGCTGTGGGCTAATGTGCCAGACTGCAAAGTCATTGAACTGCTAGGTCGGTGGTTCAAGCTCACCAGTTTTTCCTTGAAAACCCTATACAGGGTCGCCATGGGTCGAAATCGACTGGATGGTACTTTATAGCAACAACAATTCTACTCTTGATCCAATCCACAACTGATTATGATAAGAACGGCACAGGACCAGGCAGTGTTTTGTTTAACTGTGCATTGGGTCACCGTAAGATCAGGGATGATTCCACAGCAGCTAGCAATAGCAACCCACCCTTCCTTCCATTCTAATTGTAGATATAGTTCCAGCTGCAGCCAGGACACATAGACGTTTCTGTTGGGACCTTCTGGGATAGGAAGACCCTACTTTGTAGATAGCTGATGCCATGGATGGACATGTTTTATTATTAAAGAATCTTTCCTTTTGTAAAGCCAGCACGAAGGAGCTGTTGTACTAGAACTGACCCATATAAGAAATCAAACCCTAACAACTAGAAACTCTACAACTTGGCGACAGATGGTAGTCATGACAGGGCAACTTCAAAACCTTCCATTAAAAAAGAAAAACATTAGGAGGTTCTCCAGCCAGAAAAGCTCCTTAAAAAAAGTTGGGTTCAGTCCTAAGTTTCTCAGGGCCATTATAGGATTGAGTTCTGTTCTGTCTGGGCTTTTACAGTGGCCCCAAACTGGCTACTCACTGGGAGTGGGTATAAAAACACTGGCCAGAGTGATTGAGGTAAGTAGTCCTGCTTTGGGCCACAGAATGACAGCCTGCCAGAGTGAGAAGGATATTAACTGGCATCAGTTCCACCCTTTACTTTACAAATGTGGAAACTGACATCTGGGGAGGTAAAATTATTTCCCATGAGGGAATTTTGGGTAATATAGCATTTGCTGGTTGGATATTTCCTGGGCTGGGATCACTGTTGCCTCTGGTTTGAGTCCCACCTCTCCCATTCCTGGTGCCACTCTCTCAGACTTGGGGGCTCTGAGGGTTCAATGACATAAGGGACTCACAGAAATGTCAGACTGGATGCTTAGATCAGGTTTTGTTTTGTTGTGGAGCCCAAATCACGCCTCATTAGGGAAAAGAAGCAAAGATGTGTGTGTAGTGGAATTTTTTGTTTTGTTTGTTTTTCTTTTGAGCAATAAAGAGAAACCAGCTGAAAGAAACACACAGATAGTGCAAAGAGGAGAGGTCTTGGCATCAAAGTAAGTCCTTAGTACAGCCAGTTAGCCTGTGAACAAAGTGAGAGCACAGTTGTCTTGCATCTTTCACTTTTAGTGTTAACATT